GTTTTAATCAAGAGAAGTTCAGTCTAGGAGCGCCTGGGTGGTTCAGTTGGTTAGGCCGCCGACTTCAGCTCAGGTCATGATCTCACGGTTTGTGAGTTCGAGCCCCGTGTCGGGTTCTGTGCTTACAGCTCAGAGCCTGGAGCCTGCTTTGGATTCTGTGTCTCTCCCTCTCTCTGTCCCCTCCCCTGCTCACACTCTGTGCATCTCCTGTCTCTCAATAATAAATAAACGTTAAAAAAAATTAAAAAAAAAGTTCAGTCTAATAGTGGAAAAAGGCAACCCTTCTATGCTGTAGGAATGAGGCATTTTAAAATTAAGATTTATATAAGTTTGCCCTTGGTTTTCACATTTTTCATACAGTTCTCTTAAACTACATACTTTTAAATGTTGAGTCACCTGCCTCACCTCTCCTGTGCCTTTTGGTTCACTGAGTTCACTTGCTCCATAGCTGGTGTTCAATTTTGAAAGTGAGTTTGCTTAAATAATTCTTATCAGACTGATTTGGGTGGGTGGGGGGAGGGGCTTAATTTCCTTTTATTAAAGATTCTATTTAGGTTTCAGAGCAACATTACACTTACTTGTTGAGGTCCAGGTTGTGACCTGGCACCCTGGTTTTTTCCGGGTAACTAGTGTTACACTGCAACAGCCCAGAGGACCACAGTATTGCCCTGAAGGAATAGTCATGTGAACACACCTGGATGTTCGTCTTAGCCTTGAACTTTCCAGTTTTTATTGACCTTCCCCTAACACATAAGAGCAAAAGCACTTCCAATTAGGTGGTGATTGTTGGGAGAAAAATACAATGAACTAAGAAGGTAAAGCCACACTGGTACTAAAAGCCTGAGCATTCTGTTTTGTTAAGAAGTCCCCTCCCCCCGCTCCACCCCCACAATAACGGCTTTTAGAAGAAGTACCCAGGATGATGGAATGGCATTTCAAAACTGTGTATTTGTTTCCAAGCTGTCACTAATTTATTTGCTAAATTTTAAAACTTTCTTTCCCTTTCTCCAAAGTAATCTACATTCTTTTCTTCCAGCTGACCCTTTGGTGGGAAGTATTGCCACTCAGTATATGACCAACAGAGCAGAACATGACAGAATGGCCAGACAGTGGACCAAGAGATACGCTACATAAATTGGGTCTTCACAATTCTTACATTATTTGTCTGTCACAGAGAGAGCTGCTTATGATTTTGAAGGGGTGGGGGAGGGTGGGAGTTGGTAAAGAGTAGGGTATTTCTATAACAGATATTATTCAGTCTTATTTCCTAAGATTTTGTTGTAACTTAAGGTATCTTGCTACAGTAGACAGAATTGGTAATAGCAACTTCTAAAACTGTCATTAGTTCTGCAATATTAGCTGAAATGTAGTACAGAGAATAGACATTTGGGTTCAGTTGCTTGTAGTCTGTAAATTTAAAATAGCTTAATTTTGTACAGGTTATACACATGGCCATTTATGTAAAGTCCTTCCAAGACTACACATTTTTTGTTCAAAAAAATTGGAATTTGTTTTTCCTTCTTGGGAGGGAACATCGATATTTAACAGTTTTTAGAGACTGTCATCTCATATATATAAAATGGATATGTGGCTATAAGACACCATATAGGAAATGAGTAGTTATGTATTTTATTTTATATACCAATCTACTTTATTGTGACAAGATGAGAGGTTTGAATCACGACTTGTGAAAACCTGTAGTAAAATACCTTAAGCTGTTAACTGTAAGGTGTGGAATAGGAGTTGCTCAGTGGATTGGTTATATGTTGTGGACTGCTTAAGTCTGCATTTGTTACTGTGCTAATAAACAATATTAAAACCACCACCTAACACTGCTGTATTCATTTACTTTATCTTGTCTGTTTGTGGTTTGCAGACTTTTTAAGTTTGTTTATCTCGAAGAGGGGTAGGGGTGGGAGAGAGAATCCCAAGCAGGCTCCATGTTGTCAGAGCAGCACCCAAAGTGGTGCTTAATCTCAAGGACTGTGAGATCACGATTTGAGCCAAGATCAAGAGTCGGACGCTTAACCAACTGAGCTACTCAGGCACCCCACGCAGATTCAAGAGCTTTGCTACTAAACAACCTACAAGGAACGCCGCAGACTGCATCATTACCAAGGACCTAGGTTAGGATTGGTATGCTGTCAGCCTTGCGAGATAGATTTTTGCGTGGGAAGGGGGGTGGTGTTTTAGAAAAGGTTAATTGAACCCCCCCATCTTTTGAAGATGGATCCTCATGGCTAACTTAATGCAGCTCCCTTAGAGGGCAGTTTGGTACCGAAGTGTACATACATCCAGCAGTTGTTTCTCTGCATCTACTGCAGAGAAATGCTATTTTTAAGTCATTGTAAAAGTATCCATCTATGTAAAAATACATAGGAAAACGAGAAAATCAGCCTTACTGGGAAAGAAAACAGGCAATGACTAAACCATTATCTGAATAATTTTTTGGCAAAAAAAAAAAAAAAAAAACACATTTGTGATAAGGAATTTTAACTAAGTAGTAGCAACACTAGCTGATTTACAAGTTTTGTATCTTTTATATGCAGTTCTTGGCTTGAACTCACAGAAATGAACCAACTGACTTTAAATTCACTGAGCCCAGCCTTAGAAGTATTCCACTTAAGAAGTTACAGTTCATGGGTATCTGGCTGGCTGTAGAGCATGAGACTTGATCTTGGGGTCTTCGGCTTGTGAGTTCAAGCCCCACAGTGGGGATAGAGTTTTGTTTTTTTTTTTTAAGTTACAGTTTACTAGATGTGTTAATGCTGAACAGCTTATTTCATATTTTACATTTTTTTTTGTTTTTGTTTTTTAAGTTTACTTTGAGAGAGAGAAGAACAAGGGAGCATGGGAGGGGCAGAAAGAGAAGGAAAGGGAATTCCAAGCAGGCTCTGCGCTGCCAGGGTGGAACCCCACGCAGGGCTTGAACTCAAAAACCATGACATCATGACCTGAGCCAAAGTCAAGAGTTGGACCCTCAACCCACTGAACCACTCAGGTGCCCCTCATATTTTACATTGAAATCAAATAGCTGCTTTCCCAGTCAAAACAATCAATAGCTTGCTTCCTACTTTTAAAATATTGCCAACTTGCAAAATACAGTTAGTCCCAATGCTCGGATATTGCCAGAATTTTCAAAGAATAACACAGCACACATTCAGCTATCTAACCAGAAGACTACCTGCAGTCCAATATTTTTATGATACATTCTATTCCACATGACTAAGTAAGTATCCAGGGCATGACTGCAGAAGGGACAGCATTACTTGTGGAAAATGGAAGCTTGAGTGTCCTTAAGTGCTTATTAGCAGTTTTCTAAAGAAAGAGCAAACACTTTAAACATACTTACACCACTCCCTACCTCAGGTCATGCTAAACATATAATTTGAACAAAGCTAAATCACAGGTAGGTTTTGTTCCATTTAGCAAAGTCTCCACAAGATAAGATTTAGTTTAACACCCAAGTTTACTGTTTGATCTAAAAATGTCATTTTATATTTCTAGACATTAGAAGATTAATGACCTTAAAAACAAAGTTCTGTTTGAGCTAAGAAGTGTGCATAAAGTTACACAGAAAAATGGCTTCTGAAACAAGTTAGGGGTAGCGGAGCTACTCCTATCTGCATACTACCCAAACTTTATTTTTCTACTGTTTTGACAAGTGCAACAAAAATATAAATACAAAGGTGCTAATTTCAGGGACAAGTTTCAAGCAATGACAATGCAAATATTTCCTATCAGACAATAAACTTAGTCCAAATGATTTAATTATAACCTAAAGTGCATTAAATTAATTCCTTAAAGGTTGCCTAAGAGCCAAAGGTAGATAAATGGCCTATTTTAAATATGTTCACAAACACTTAAAGGCAATCACTATCCAACAATTGTAGCATTATTGATTTTTAGTTCTCAGAGCTAGAGTTCCCTTTGTTTTTCCTCCCAGGCAAAGGAAAGCTTGATTTGCTCTGGGGCTGGGAAAGTTTGCTGGCTAACAGAGTGAATGGTTCAATCAGGGTTTTCCGATCCGTAACCGTTACCTCCCACAGTCGCACTTTCTCACTTCTTGCCCATTGCTGTGCCACCTCAGCATCTACTTGTCTCTGCTCAGAAAGGTCGATTTTGTTTCCTAACACAACAATCGCTACCTGAAAGGAAAATATTAAGATTACACTTTGCCAACATGTGTTGCCAGACAAAAGAGAGAAATCAAGAAAACTCCCACTGAACAGAATGCTTCTTCAAAACATCCTCAGATGTGACTTGAATCATCAAGTTAGTCAGGTATTAACCTCACTCTGCCTTAATACATTTTGGTTAAAAATGCAGATGCTCTACAGCCTGCCAACTACGAAACATTTTAAAGGAACAGTGGGTGAAAGTTACTCAAGTCAGGTATGAATGGAAGCTAGACTTGGGGATATTACTATCTAAAATCCAGGGGCACCTCGGTGGATCAGTCCGTTGAGTGTCTGACTTCAGCTCAGGTCATGATCCCACAGTTGGTGAGTTCAAGCCCCTCATCGGGCTCTCTGCTGTCCATGTAGAGCCCACTTCGGATCCTCTGACCTCTCTCTCTGCCCCTCACCCATATTGTCTCTCTCCCTTCTCAAAAGTAAACATTAAAAATAAATTTTAAAAATACAGGTAATAATTTGAAATGTGTCTGCATTTCAGTGGTTATACCTGCTGTTTAGGAAATCAGCATTACATGTTTTAAAAACTGTGGACTCTTGGAGCTGTGAGAGTTCACCCCTAGAACCTAAATTCCGTGAGAACAGGAACTGTTACTCTGTTCATATTGCTGATCTTAGACAAGTGCCTGATGCAAGCACTAAATAATCTGTTGAATATATGGACCAATGGGAGCATTTTACACTAAATGTAAGGCAATCAATCATGCCCTTAAGCTTTAAATGCTTAATGCACACCATGCAATTTCAGACCACCAGTACACAGCAGTCGCAAAGCAGTCAAAGCACAGTGGGGAGGGGAAGGGAGATGATATCCAACTTTCAGACCCTTGACTGGAAAGACAATAAAACAAGAGAATGAAAGGTAGAAGAGGAGCAGTAAGAATTGTTAGAGAAGGTACCTCTAAGGAACAGCTTTGAACTAGGACATTTAAGCCACTGCTGTGTTTCTGCCTCAAAGCTGAGTGGGCTCCCTGCGCTCCAGTTAGACTATGCCTTCCTGGTAGGATGGAACAGCAGGACCTAGAGCTTTGGGGTTTTGGCAAGTCTCCTACTCTTTCATTTCTCAACAGGATCTGTCCCTTCAGGCCCTCCTGTCATTCTTCATCACCCAGATTTTCATCTTCACATGTATCTCCTAGTCTGACCTCCCATCTCCCTCTCCTGTCCAGTTGTAGAAACTGTTGCATGTCGCCCCGGATTTTAACGAAGTCTCCTTCCTCCATTCCCATCTCTGCTTTCAATGTTCCCGTCACCCTGCCTACTTGAAACAGTACTCTCACCACCATGGGGGGCACAGGGGATGTAAAGGGTATCCTCCTTATCCCTCACTGCTGTCTCCAATAAAGTCCTTCCCGAAGAACCCTGAAAGTGAAGGCTGGTGTTACTAGTCTGTACTATCGACTGCCTGTTTCCCACCCCCACCTCGTTGCTACTCATTACAGAACTGGCCCACTGTCACTCCCACACTCCTTTCATCGTAATTCCTAGTCACTCACTAGCCACATGGATGACCCTTCCAGTAACCTTCTCTCTCCATTCCTTGACTTCTCCAAATAGCCTAACCATCCTCCTGACTTTGGCCATCCACTCCTCTACACATCCTAGCTCTTGCCATTATAATCACTCCCCTTCGTGGTCTTTAGTTCCAAGAATCCCAATCCCACTCTGCCTTTCTAGTTCGTGCCTTACACCCTAACTGCAACAATCCTAAACACCAGAAGGATCTACAGTCCACTGGCTCTCCTACCTTTATCACTGTTCTTCAACCCTTCTCCTGTCTTCAGTTCCTGGCCCAGCTTACATCATCATCCCATCGTATTCTCTTGGTCACCAACCCCCATTCCTAAATGTAACTTTTTTAAAGTTTTTTTTTTAATGTTTTATTTATTTTTGAGAGAAACAGACAGTGAGAGAAGGGGAGGGGCACAGAAAAAGGGAGACAGAGCATGAGCAGGGGAGGGGCAGAGAGAGGCGGAGACACAGAATCCAAAACAGGCTCCAGGCTCTGAACTGTCAGCACAGAGCCCTTGCGAGGCTCAAACTCACAAGCCATGAGATCATGACCTGAGCCGAAGTCGGATGCTCAACCGACTGAGCCACCCAGACGCTCCTAAATGTAACTCTTAACTGAACTGTGCCTATACCACATGGAGAGAAAAAGCAGCTCTGCTGACTGGTCCCAATTCGTAACCACGGATTTTAAGTGAGCTGGTGTTCTCTAGTAAATATATTAATATTCCATCCATATATTCTGCAACTAGACAACAGCTCCTACCTTGGCTCTCTTCTCCAACCTCCAACATCTCTGCCTTCCCACACCTTACTCTCAGCTGATGTCTATACTATTTCAGTAAGAAGATAGAAGCAATTGAAGGAACTTTCACTTGCATCCACCAACACATCTAATAACCTACCATCTAGACTCCATCCTCTTTACCCTGGACAAGATGTCACTACAGCAAATAACCCCCTCTCCTATATCATCCATTTTCTCCTCTCTATTGAAGCATTCCATTGGCATATGAACACTAGCTCTCATCTGGGGAGGGGGGAAAAGCCCTCTTTTACACATCCTTCTCCAGCTCCTCTGTTCCCCTTTATAGGACAAGATATTTACCCTTGACTAAAAATTCTCAAAGAGCTATCTTTGCTGTGTCCAGTTCTTATATCCAGTCCAATCAAACTTCATCTGTTTTGCTGTAACTGTTAAGACGTCCCAAGTTAACTAAAGGCTGGCCACTTCTGTGTCTTCAGCTTTTCTGACCTATCTGCACCATGACATAGTTTGATCACTCCCTACTTTTTGTTTATTTTGTTTACTACTTATTTTGAGAGAGGGAGAGCATGAACTGGGGAGGGGCAGAGAGACGGAGACAGAATCCCAAGCAGAGTTCCAAGCAGGCTCTGCGCTGTCAGTGCAGAGCCTGAAGCAGGGCCTGAACTCCTGACGATGAGTTCATGACCTGAGCCGAGATCAAGAGTTGGACACTTAGCTGAGACAACCAGGCAACCCTCCCTACTTTTTAAAGTGCTGACGTTCCCTTGCCTTCTGAGACATCCTATCTCTTGGTTTTTCTATCTCACTGGCCACTTCTTAGACTCCTTTGTTGGTTTCTTCTCAACTCTCCAACTGGTAACTGTTTTAAGTGCTCCAGAACAATTACATTTCGCAAAACTTGCTTCTCACCTTGTCCCCTATGTCATCTACTGTCAACACAGCAGCCAAAGTGAATATTTTAAAACAAGTCAAAAGATGCTTAGCCTTCCTTATTCATATTAAGGAAAATGAAATAAAGTAACATCTTCACCCAGAAGTTTTTTTTTTTTTTTAAGTTTATTTATTTTGAGAGAGAGAAAGAGAGAGCAAATATCCCAAGCAGGATCTGCACTATCAGTGGCACAGGGCTCAGACTCATGAACTGTGAGATCATGACTTGAGGTGAAATCAAGAGGTAGATGCTTAACTGACTGAGCCACCCAGTGCCTCTCACCCAGAAGATTCACAGGATCCACAAGCACACACTGTTGTCAAGACTGCAAAACCGGCATTTTCATACCATTGATATGGAAAGTCATTTAGCAATGTATCTTTTGATTCAAGAGCTCCATTTCAGCTGATCTTACGACTATACCCCAAAGCATACAAACTAATAAACGTGAGACATTGTTCACTGTACCATAGTTCATAATAGCAAATGATTATAAAATAGCCCCAGGTGTCCACCAATTTCGAACTGGTTAAATAAGTATGATCTATCACACAATGAGTATCCATCAGTTTAAAAAAAAAAAAAAAAAGGAATCTTGAGTACTGATATGGAAAGGACTCCAAGATACATGAAAAATGCAAGGTACAGAACATTATGCTATCTTTGGTGTAAGAAGGTCGGGGAGGGGATTATATGTATGTTCCTATTTACTTGTATTTATATAAAGAAACGTTGAGGGGCACCTGGGTGGCTCAGTGGGTTAAGCATCTGACTTCAGCTCAGGTCTGCTCTCATGGTATGTGAGTTTAAACCCTGCATGAGGCTCTGTGCTGACAACTCAGAGCCTGGAGCCTGCTTCAGATTTGTGTCTCCCTCTCTCTCTCTCTGTCCCTCCCCCGCTCACACTCTGTTTCTCTCTCTCTCAAAAATAAACAATGAAACATTAAAAAAAGAAAGAAAAAAGAAATGCTAGAAGGAAGCCCCAAAACAAGTGGTAAAATACTTAAAAAGCATACTTGAGGGATGCCTGGCTGGCTCAGTGGAGCATGCGACTCTTGATCTCAGGGTCATGAGTTCAAGCCACACATTGGGCATAGAGTTTACAATGAATGAATGAATGAATGAAGAGCATGCTTGAGATAAAGGAACTTGATGACTGAGGACAGAAGTGGGAAACTAGAGCTCACAATGGCCCTTTTTATAGATCATTTTTATTTCTGAACCATGAGCAAACGTGACCTATTCAATTTTTTAAATCAAACATGAAAATAAATAAATGCAACCTAAGCGAGATAGGTCTTTCCTTTGCTCAAAACCAATGGCTTGTGATGCAAAGTGTTGCCCTCATCTCCTCCCATACTCCTCCTAGCCCACTCTGGCCTCACAGCTGTTCCTGAACATGACATGCAAACTTCTCCAGACCCTAGCACCAGCTAATGCCTCCACCTGGAGCACTCCTCCTCCAGATGGGCGTGGCTTCCTCTCTCACTTCCTTCAAATCTCTGCTAAAAGTCACCTTATCAGGGAGGCCTTCCCAGATCACCTTACAGAAAATAGTACCCTTGCATCCCGCTCACTGTCTTTCTCCCACTCCCAAATCAGAAGTTTTATGGGAACAGGAAGTCTGTTTTGCTGCCGATTGTATTCCCTGCGCCTTACCTAAAACAATGCCAGGCACACAGTAGTTGTTCAATAAGCATTCACTGAATGCATGTCTTTTGTTTTAAGTTTATTTATTTGAGACAGAGGTAGTGCCAGTGGGGGAGGGGCAGAGAGAGAGGAAGACAGAGAATCCCAGGCAGGCTCACACTGTCAGCCAGGACAGAGGCCAAGCCAGAGCCCAAAAGGCAGGGGGCTCAAACTCACAAAACCCTGAGATCATGACCTGAGCTGAAACCAAGAGTCAGATCTTTAACCGACTGTACCAAGCAGGTGCCCCTGTATGTGTTTCTTAAAGCTCCCTAACAACCATCTGAGAAAGGTACTATTATTATCCCTATTTTATGGTTAAGGAAACTGAGGCAGTAAGTTGAAAAGCAGAGCCAAGATTCAAGTATCAAATAGGAGTGCACATTGAGTCACTCTTTCAACTTTCGGAGGGCAGGGAGGAGAATATGAAGGATACCGCAGAAAAAAAGTAACAATTTATCTGTTTAGATGGGAAAAATGGGAAACAGGTGTGAGGACAGCATTCATTAGATGCCTCTATGTCTTTTGAAAACTGAACCTAGTGATTATGAACTATTCACAAAGCAAGTAAGTATTCAAAACAATAAAATATCAACCCAGATGTCCTTCAACAAGTGAATGGTTAAACAAACTTTGGTACATAAACACCCTGGAACATCACTCAGCAGTAAGAAGGAATGAACTACTTACTGATACATGCAATAACTTGGACGACCCTCCAAGAGAACTATGCTGAGTGAAAAAGGCTGATACCAAAAAGTTACATACATATCATTCCATCTATGTTAACACTCTTAAAATGACAAGGTTATAGAAATGGAAAACAGATTAGTCAGGGATTAAGAGGGGGTGGGGATGGGAAGAAAGTGGGTGTGACAAAAAAGGATAACAGGAGGGATCCTTGCAGTGATGCAAACGTTCTGTATCTTGACTGCATAAACAGTAACTAGTTTTTGGGAATGCAAGCTGGTGCAGCCACTCTGGAAAATAGTATGGAGGTTCCTCAAAAAACTGAAAGTAGAATTACCCTACGACCCAGCAATTGCACTACGAGGTATTTATCCAAGGGATACAGGTGTGCTGTTTCGAAGGGACACATGCACCCCCATGTTTATAGCAGCACTATCAGCAATAGCCAAAGTATGGAAAGAGCCCATATGTCCGTCGACAGATAAATGGATAAAGGTGTGGTATACACATATACAATGGAGTATTACTCAGCAATCAAAAAGAATGAAATCTTGCCATTCGCAACTATGTGGATGGAACTGGAGGGTATTATGCTAAGTGCAAGTAGTCAGAGAAAGACAAAAATCGTATGACTTCACTCATATGAGGACTTTAAGAGACAAAACAGATGAACATAAGGGAAGGGAAACAAAAATAATATAAGAACAGGGAGGGGAACAAAACAGAAGAGACTCCAAGAGGCACAGAGAACTCCCTTCAGACGTAACTTGAATCGATCTTCTGCACGACATATCATAGTGAAACTGGCAAAATACAAGGATAAAGAGAAAATTCTGAAAGCAGCAAGGGGTAAACGTGCCCTCACATATAAAGGGAGACCTATAAGACTCGT